TCCCTTGTGTTAATCCTTTAGGAAGGAGTCGCCGGGCAGACAGAGCGTTCCTGGAGGGGCGATGCTGCCGAGCCCTGCCCCGGGCAGAAGGAAGCAGCCGGGAGATGCGCGGCCCGGGGCGGGCAGCGGGAGAGTGTGAGGAGCTGCCTCCGCCTGCGCCTTTCCGAGAGGGAAACAGCATGGTGAGAGCTGGACCCGATCCCTGGAGCGCGGCCCCGCTGAGCAGGAGGTGGGATTATTCCGGAGTAGTTATGGAGAGCTATAACTTGGCAGCGGAGTGTTAAAGCGACTCGTTCCTGCTGGGAGAGGAACCCACTGCGGGCATCGCCGGCGTGGTGGCCGAGGGAAGGTCACTCGGGTCCTTCTCCTCCTCCTCTCGCCTCTTTCTCCATCCGGCAAACGACCGAGGGAAAAACTGCTAATCGGCTCTTGCCAGCGTTGGGAATACCGTGCCTTTTGCTGGGATGATTTGCCCTGATGTGCCGCCTCAGCGGGATGTACAAAGCGCGACTGGGACTGATCCGGCCAACAAAGTTTGCAGAGTGATCGGCAGGGGCCGTGGGATGGAGGGAGCCGGGCACGCACCAGCAGGGTCCGTCACGCACGGTCCGATGGCACAGACCTGCTGCTCCCCTGAAAAATAACTCCTGGTGGTCCAACTCTTACTTCTCCCCTGCCAGTTTGCACTTTCAGGGAAAAAAACCCCACATGCACGATGCAATGCAGTGTTCCTGTGTTGGTTTTGTATATAAGATTTGCTATGCAATTCCAAAACTAAAAGAGGAGGAGAGACGGCCCTGCATCCCAGAGCAAACAGGGAATCAGAGGTGAAAGGTAGGAGCCAGCATTTCTTGTTTAAGTCAGACTAAATAACCTGAGCTACTTCTTGCTGAAAACGTTTAAAACACACCTACTGTATGTTTATTTATTTTGTCTTGGAAATGTAAACCAGTTTGAAACAAAGTGAAGGTTTGCTTTCTGATACTGCCAAGAAACAGAGTGAGAACTGATGCATTTTATAACAGGAATGTAGTGAGGAGGAAGGATGGAGTGTTTCATCAGTGAGACATTTAGAGAACCAGAGAAAAGGCATCTTGTCTGATACGCTTCAGTAAATATGAAGGGCTGGTGCAGTGGACACTGGAAACACTCGATCAATAGTCTATTTAAGTGGGAATAGATGCAAGCATGGAAAAGTGATTGCTTTGCTGTGTGTGGGGTGTGTTTGCAGAGGACGGCAGCAGAACACTCACAGGTGAGCTGTCTGAGTTAGGCTACTCCATGCAGGGGTGGTGCAGTGTGTTTCTGAAGGGATTGCTAAAAACCCTCTGTTTGTAGGGTGGACTGTGTTTGTGCATTTTCAGTTCCTGCCCACAGAGCTTTCAGGATGTTGTTAGGATGATTCAAAGAGGGTGAGGTCTGTCTGGGGGCGAAGGGACTGTAGGAAAAGACCTTTGCTCTGTTTGGTGATGAGTAATTAATGGCCATCTGATCTCTGTGATCTCTGCAAGGAGAGGAGTTGATGTCGTCATGAAAATCATGATATGATTTTCCCTCAGGAGAAACTATGACTTGGAACGACACCACTATGGACGGGGAAGGGCTGCTGGTGGAAAGGGACTCCTCTTCCTTTCGGATCCTCACGGGCTGCTTCCTCTCGCTGCTGATCCTCTCCACGCTGCTGGGGAACACGCTGGTCTGCGCAGCTGTCATTCGCTTTCGCCACCTCAGGTCCAAGGTCACCAACTTCTTTGTCATCTCCTTGGCCGTGTCCGATCTCTTAGTGGCAGTTTTGGTCATGCCTTGGAAAGCTGTGGCCGAGATCGCCGGTTTCTGGCCTTTTGGTTCATTTTGCAACATCTGGGTGGCCTTTGATATTATGTGCTCAACAGCCTCCATCTTAAACCTCTGTGTCATTAGTGTGGACAGATACTGGGCCATCTCCAGCCCGTTTAGGTACGAGAGGAAGATGACCCCCAAGGCAGCCTTCATCATGATCAGCGTGGCGTGGACTTTGTCCGTGCTGATCTCCTTCATCCCAGTGCAGCTCAACTGGCACAAGGCTACGACCACGAGCTTTTTGGACTTCAATGCCAGCTTAGAAGGTGTAACCATGGACAACTGTGATTCTAGCCTAAACAGGATGTATGCCATCTCCTCTTCTCTAATTAGCTTCTACATCCCCGTGGCCATCATGATAGTCACCTACACCAGGATATACCGGATTGCTCAGAAGCAAATCCGGCGCATCTCGGCTCTGGAGAGAGCAGCAGTGCATGCCAAGAACTGCCACAACCCGGGTGGCAACAGGAGCAGCATGGACTGCCAGCAGCCAGAGAGCAACTTCAAAATGTCCTTCAAGAGGGAAACCAAGGTGTTAAAGACCCTCTCAGTGATCATGGGGGTGTTTGTGTGCTGCTGGTTGCCATTTTTTGTGTTGAACTGCATGATTCCCTTCTGCGAGCCCACCCAGCCCTCCAAGGGGGCAGAGGCTTTCTGCATTAATTCCACCACCTTTGATGTTTTTATATGGTTTGGATGGGCCAATTCTTCCCTGAACCCCATCATCTATGCCTTCAACGCCGATTTCCGCAAGGCATTCTCCACCTTGCTGGGCTGCTACAGGCTCTGCCCCCTGGCTGGCAACGCCATCGAGACCGTCAGCATCAACAACAACGGGGCCGTGGTCTTCTCCAGCCAGCACGAGCCCAAAGGCTCCAGCCCCAAAGAGTCCAACCTGGTTTATCTGATCCCACACTCCATTATCTGCCCGGAAGAAGAACCTCTCAAAAAGGAAGACGAGGAGGGTGAACTGTCAAAGACCTTGGAGAAAATGTCTCCAGCACTGTCGGGTATCTTGGATTACGAAGCTGATGTTTCTTTGGAAAAGATCAATCCCATTACACAGAATGGGCAGCATAAAACCTGAACAGTAAGGTTTACTCAGCAAGACCTAATGGTGTATATTGTAATAATCTTTTTTTGGGAAAAAAAAAGATATATGAGATTTTTTTGGTAAGAACCTAAGCTCTAAGGGAGAAAAAGGCACATTTACACCAAGCCCAGAATTAATTTTCCTGGCATTCAGAGCAAATTTAACATTTCAAACAATAAACAGAAAAAAATACTGGAAATTGGTTATAAAAAAGGATGTTAAACTGTACTGTTCACCCTGAGGAAAATCTACAAATCTACAAATTTAGATACAGTGCAGTTACAAAGAAAATGTTGCTTCTTCTCTGTACAGAGGAACCAATTTCTAGGTAAAAGTGAGGCAAAAGATAAATGTTGAGTATTTAAAGATTAATGTTTACTAGAAGTTAAAAGATTGCTTTGTCTTGTGATAGTGGGTGTTAACAGGTCCTAATTAATGACTGAGGGATTGTAAAGGTAGGTTGATGCCTTCTTAAAATTATTTCTGACAAATAATTGAGCCTTATAACGAGAATGGTTATTTTTAAAGCTTTGGGAGGTAATATGTTGATACTGGTTTTATTTATTTATTGTTTTAAATTGATATTTTTCATATGTTACAACAGATCTAGCTTTATTTATGTTATTTAAGATGTTTAAATAATGGGATATTTTTGGAGTGTCATAACTGCATTTTGACCAGTCAACCAGTCAGCACTTTATTACAAGCTCTGATAGTCTGGAGAGCTGGTGAGGGGAATGGAGCAGTGTTAAGGAGCTCAGCAAGAAATGAAGGAATCAACAGAACTGATGCTGTGTGGAGTTGGTTTGCTTGTGGGCTTTTTTTATTTTTAAGTGGGATTTCTTTCAAAAGATAGGACCAGAGTTGACTGAGTTGCGAATTTTCTTCCCTTATAGAAATAAAAGAAATTGCTGCTATTTATTTTTAAAAAGTTTCATGTTACAGAGACTTTGCTAGAATGTCAAGTTTGTGGATCTGTAAATACCTTAAATATGACTACAACCTTAAGAAGAATCCAATTTGGGAAGGAAAGCTTCTTAGATAACAATTCTTAGTATATAGTGTTTTGTATTTATGTAAGATAAACAGCTTTCTCAGACTTTTCTTATTTCAAGTCTTGGGTATCTTTTCTGAACAAACACACTGGGTTACAATGGCAGCTGGGAGGACATCACAGTTTAGAGATTGCCATGTCAATACTCCAATCTAGAAAGGAATTGTGGCCTCATTACCATTTGGGATTAAAACATTTCTAAATCCGGCTGGAACTGCAGCCTCCATCTCGAAACCCTCCTGCGAACTCCAAAAAAGTTGCCAATGTTTAATTAAAAAATCCTGCTACTTTGCCACCGTCCTTCCCTGCTGCTTTCCCTCTGTAATGCCAAAAGCAATCAGTGAGCATTAGCAACAGGAACATTGGGTGTTAATATTCAGCAGCATTCAAAGGAATCCATTTCTTTTCTAAATGGGAGAAAATACCCTTTGGAGCAACTTTTTCGTAACATATATCAAAAGAAATGTGTTGTCAGGAAAAGAGAACTGAGAGGAAAAAAAAATTTAAAGTCTAACAAACTATATACATCCTGCATCAGGTCTGTGTATTTATGTATTGTGAATGTTTTCATAATTTTATTGCCTGTATGCTGCTTTCATACATATAATAAAATTATTTTGTGAACAGAAGGTCAAATAAAGCAATCTACATTGCATTTATTAAATACATGCTGGTTTTTGCAGTTGTATTGATTGTGTTAAAGGGAAGGATGGTTCTTTTTTTTTCCCATTTGCCCTTATTTGGGATCACACCCATGAGGCAGATGGGATTTTCTGTTCAAAGCAGAGGAAAACCTCCTCACTAGAGACCACTGAGCCCCTGCTCTAAACTAGGATTTGAAAGCAGTAAAAGCAATTTGGAAACAGCCACTCTCTGCTTTAAATGTGTAAAGCTTGCCCTACTGGTGACTTTTATTTAAAAGATTAATTTTGCCTTGGAGTAACAGCATAGTGAATGGGCTCTTTGGGGAAAATGTCCTTCCTAATGCCTGATTTTTTGGGGGTACTTTTGAGGAATTACTTCATTTCTTAAAATGTACCCAGGCCAAAGAGGAGGTTCTGTGGTTTCTTGCTTATTCTCAAAACTCCCAGCAGTCTGATATATAGGCAAAATACAAAATATGATTTAAGGAGAGTGTGTAAAGCAAGGTGCTGTTTTTGCAGGAGTTCATAGGTGATGATTTGTACTCTGTAATAAATGTTTGCTCTGCTTGACCAGGAGCTGTCAGAGAACCTCCCTGCTTGCAGAAGGATCTGAGTTTCAGGGGGTTCTGTGAAATTTGGGGAAGTGCTGTTGCTGCTGGGAGTGTCCCCTAGGTGTGAGAGGCTGAGGAGACACTTGGATGACTTCATTTTATTGTTTTATCTCTCATTTGATTTAACTAATTTTTGCTTCTGCCTCCTTTTCCTTCAATACATTTTCAAATAACATGAATTGGCCTTGATCCTCACTTACCAACACATCCCATTTACCCTTTGTTTTCTTCCCAGCAAGTGCCTCTACCTGTCCTCCCTGCCTTTCCTCCCATTACTACCAGAGCCTTTCTGTTGCCTTTTTTTGGCTTTATTTGCCCCAATTACCCTTTGCTTGGAAGAAAGCCCAAATCAAAATCCTTCCCCCCAGCACAGCCAAGAGTCCCCATCCCACACCCTGCTCCCAGAAATGCCTCCCTTACCTGCTGCAGAGCCTGGGCAGTGTCAGGGGTGGCTGGCAAGGTCAGCAGCAGGCACCTGCTGCCCGCCTCCCTATTTATGTGCTGAATTAACTGCCCAGAGCTGCATTCATTACCTGCTCTGTGCCTGCTCCCCAGCTGCTCAGAACCAGTGGTTTGCTGGAACTGCTGGTCACAGCAATGTCAGGGGGCACCCCGGGGGCTGGAGCAGTGCCAGGAGTGCCAGGCTGGGCTCTGGGGCTGATAGCAGGGAGCTGACTGATGAGGTTTGGCTGAGCAGCCTGGGAGGATTGCTGCCTGTTCCTGTATACCCTGGCAGGGAACTGCTGCTCTGGAACTCATTTCTGAGAGTTCTGTCTCCCCTGAGACAGCTTTGGCTGCTTTGGTGGAGCCCCTCCCCAGGAAAGTCTTTTCTCACCTCGTGCTGCAGTGAGTGCTGGGCAGAGGCAGGGACACAGAGGAGCAGTGAGGTTCCAGGGCACTGGGATGTCACTGCTGCCACCAGGATGGTCCTCACATCTACTCCAGGGCAGTCAGGCACTCTTCTCCCTGCCCTGCTCCTGCTTTTCTCCCTGCCCTGTTCATGCTTTTCTCCTTTCCCTTCTCACACTTTTCTACCTGCCCTGCTCACAGTCTTCTACCTGCCCTGTTTGTGCTTTTCTCCTTGCCCTTCTCTTACTTTTCTACCTGCCCTGCTCACAGTCTTCTCCCTGCCCTGTTTGTGCTTTTCTCCTTGCCCTTCTCTTACTTTTCTACCTGCCCTGCTCACAGTCTTCTCCCTGCCCTGCTCCTGCTTTTCTCCCTGCCCTGTTTGTGCTCTTCTCCCTGCCCTACTCACACTTTTCTCCCTGCCTTGCTCATGCTTTTCTCCCTGCCATGCTCACGCTTATCTCCCTGCCCTGTTCATGCTTTTTCCCTGTCATGCTCATACTTTTCTCCATGCCTTGCTTGTGCTTTTCTCCTTGCTCGTGCTTTTCTCCTTTCTCTGCTCACACTCTTCTCCCTGCCCTGCTGATGCTTTTCTCCCTGCCCTGCTGATGCTTTTCTCCCTGCCCTGCTCACACTTTTCTCCCAGCCTTTCTCCCCTCCAGCAGCATTTCCTCTGCTGTGTCCCTTTCCCATGACAGGACATGAATGCAAGTTTAGCCAGATAAACCAAAGAACCTTTTTTTCTGTTTTTGCTTCCTCGTGACTGAAGTTATTTTTCTATTTGTGGATGGAAGAGGTTAATAATTCACCTGGTGGCCTTGATGAAGGAGCTGTTGGCAACAAATGAGCTGCAATCACCAGATTAAATCTGAATATATTTCTCCCCTTCCCTCGTCAAGAATTTTGTGCTGATTTGAGTTTCTAACTTAACAAAGCATACAAAAGATAGAGAATAAATGAGGAAATGCTTTTGCTGAGGTACAGCTATCATGACACAGTTATTGGGAGCCAATCTGGATTTTTTTCAAATCAGTAGCCTTCAGAAGCAACCACATCTGTTTGAAATCTCAAAAACCTGCTCTGATTAGTATCTTGGAAGGCAGATTATTCCAGCAATTGTTTTGGTTTCTGGTGTGATGACAGCAGAGTGTGTTCCTAGAGATGAGCACGTGGCTTGTGTGGCCACACAATGGATGTGACTTAGACAGGGAACACTGTGGTGTTTATTTCATGGTTTTTAAAAGGTGGAAACAAATCCAAGGTGTTCTTGCACTGGTCTGTGAGCCAAGTGTTGGGCTCCAATCTTGGTTCAGGTGATGATCCCATCTCTGAGAGAGAATCTGGTGCTCCTACAACAGCCCATATCTCAGAGCTGGGGCTGCATTGTGACACCAACATTTCCCAAGGGATCTGCTGAGCCCTGGGCTGGCTGCTGTTCTAATGATTTGGATGCCTCTCTGTGTCAGTACCAATGATCTGTTTTCATGGGCATGTTCATCCATCATCCATCATCCATCATCCATCATCCTCAGTTAAAGGATTCAGAGTGTGTGGAAGGGACAAATGGTGAAGTTAAATGAAATTTCTTTGTTACAGAAGCAGGAGATGAACCAGGCCTGCATCACCTGCATTAAAAGGACAAACCAGTCAGGACTGACAGATTTCCATGCCAGCACTTTGTGCCAGAGAGATCAAATGCCTAAAAAAATATTGAAAACACATTTTGAAATTGCATCCTAAAAGTGCTTTAAATAGTAATAAAAAAAGATTTAATGATACTTAATAATGACATATATATATATATATATGATAATAATAATATATATTATATGCTATAATTATATTTACTTTTTTGCTTTCTTGTTTACTAAGCTTTTGTGGCAATTACTGTAATTATTTCAGAATTGCAAGTGGGACCATCCAGTTTCCTTCTCTTTGCTCTTCTGTATCAAAGTTTGATGTGGATTTGTGTTCCCAGCTGAACAGACTCTGCTCCAGCAGCTCCTGCAGCCTCCTGACCCTTCCTGGAACCCTGGATCCCACCAGGTCTGTTGGGAACAGTGAAAGACACCCCCTGAAAACAGCTGGTTTTGAACAGTGGGAAATTACTTTTGATCAAAAAAATGACATTTTCTGTTGGTATCTTTTTTATAAGTCCAAAACATGATCCATTTTCATGTTTTTCTGGGTTTGCAAACAGTTTGAGTTAATTTTCACAAAAGCAAGATTATGGCTTCAAGAACAGCAGTATTTTTGAAGTGAGAAAGATTATAATAGTTAAAATTTCAGAAAAAAATGAAATATCATTACAATACTTATAAAGTAGAAGATTTTCAATGCATTTTATTAATGTATGACAATCTTTAAAAAAGGGAACAATTTCTGATTAGAACAGTTTAATGCAGAAACTTCCAGTCATATTTCTTATTTTGTCCTCTTGCTTGAGAAGATAAAATACAGTGATAGGGAGCTTTGGGATAAGGTGTGGCACGAGTAAAAGCCTTTCTAGCAAAGAGTATAGGCATTTAGACATTTAGTAGTTTCAGTTGTGCTGTTTAGTTCCCCTCATTGTAAAATATTGATTATATTTTAAAAAATTGATTAAATGAGTATGTGAAGGTAACTTTCATTATAATAAGTGTGACTAATTGGCCTTTTGCTGGGAGTCTCTGTGGACTTGTACCTTTTTAAGTGGCGTTTTTGTACCCAGGCTGCAGCACAGGAATTCCTGCCCTTTGGGACTGTCTTGCTGCTTTTCAGCAGGAGCAAATTCCTTCTTGCCCCTTCCCTGTCTCTAATGCATGTTCACTCCTTCAGCCTCTTTATCCTTTATGTATTGGGATAAAGTAAATTGTAGGGATGTGATTTGAAGGTGATTTTAGCAGGTGTTTGCAGCCCAGCCAGGGCTGTGACCCACGGGACACTCTGTCACCGTTAGGCTGGATGTGACACACACACAAGTGATCAGTGTCTAAAAGGAAAAAAGTTTATTATTCTGTGTGTTCTCCAGTTTATATACTCCTAACAAAGTGTGATCTTAAGTCATTAACTACATCACAATAACTTATTCTATTCATTGGCGCAAAGCAATTAGCGTTCAATGTAATTAGCAAAACTTTTACAGAAATTTAATAAGGCACGTATGCACATCTGCTTATGCATATAATTTAGCTTATAAAATTTTTCATGTATCTTTTCTAATCTGTTTCCATGCTGACAGCTTTGTCTTCTTCCTTGCTATAGATACACTCAAAAACCATCAATGTTATTTCTTCTATTAACTCAGCTTTGCTTACAAGCCAGCTGTCAAACCCCTCCATGCTCTCAGACCCATATCCCAGGATCCTGCTTGTTGGGATCCCCCCATCCCCAGGGAATGCTGCCCATTCTGGGCTGGGACAGGGAGAATCCCCTGAGGGAATTCATTGAGGCATTCTCAAAAAAAGGCCAAAAAGTCCATTAGCTCACACCCCTTGATAAACTCAACCCCTGGCATGCTGCTCTCCAGTGCTTCCTGCCCTTCCCAGCTCAAAAACCACCTGCAGAAACTGTTTTTATTTTGCAGTA